CAGACTGAGACGAGGGATTTCAGCAGTCCTCTACTGAAATTAGTGCAGTATGAAATTTAAATTCAATCTTACTTTAGGGAAAATAAATAATCCAAAAGTCCTTCCTTCTTACAGTGCTTCTCTGTGTTTATTTTGATACTATGAATAGATCCCACAAAAGTTAAAGAACATCCTCAAATACAAATGCACTTTTCAGCCAATTATTTTTCTAAAACATTTACAATATAATTCAAAGCAAAAGAGAAATACAAACACTTTAACTACTCTCGCTTTTCATGTAGGTAGCAGTAGGTACAAATGATAAATAACATTCCTATTTGATTGTGATCATAATCATAAAGCTCACGGTAGAGTGATGGCTTTAATAGTTCAAATAACCTGACTTAGGCTTTAGGTTCAAAAGGGCTAATCTCACAAGGAGGGAAATGTAAATTTTAAAGGAAAGCATTCAAATTCTATTGAAATATTTCAAGATTATACCTTGTTCACACAAATTCATCTATCTAAAGAATTCCAAACTTGGCAAGTAAGGAGAAGGACTTTTTGGAACTTATAAATCTTATAAGGACTTCCCTGTCTTTGGGAGGGGAGGACAACTTAAGTAAAACAGACCACCCTTTCTCTCTCTCTGTAAATCAGATAAATGTTTTTGATCATTAAGCATGAAAAGAAGGGAATAATAAATGGAGGATAACTCCCTCAATATTGACCGGAATACAAAGACATGCAATTTTCTTACAAAATCATTTAGTTCTGTGCTGCTGGTATCTCCTCCCATGTACTCTCAAATGAAACAAGATTCTCATGAAAGAGTGAGTGAATCATGCTGTGGAATCAGTACACTTGTTTGACCACGACAGTGTTCAGGAGATAGATGGCTACAGGCCTTCGAAAATTGCGCTGAGTATTAAAACCCTTTTTTAACTGTAGTTTGGTAGCCATGAATTCTGTATTTGCAGGCTTCTCTATAACTCAGTGATGTTTCTTGTTTCGCAGTAATCTTTGCTTTTTTATTTTCACAATCCCTTCAGGATCATATCCTACTGTTAAGCTTGATGAAGAAGAGGAAATGTTTCCATCATGTGGATACAATTGATTCACAGCTTAACAAATTCAGAAATAAAAGTCTACCCAATATCTAGACCATCTTTTTAGGAAGTTGCAGTGCTGTACAGCACAGTAAGATATTGGCCTACTGAAGCACTATGGCATGAACTTAGAGCTCACTTTGTACTGCTTTGGTCTTGAAATACGAAGATATTATGTCAAACAACATCCTACTTTTCTGTCTCTGCTTCATAGCATTGGTTTTTAGGTGAAATACCACTACTTCTGCACGAAAGTTGGATTAGCAGACTGGTGCTATAGGTTCAGTATTTTCAGCTATTTATGAGGTAAGATAATAACAAATGGATTTGCTCCATAAGATACTTCTGTTGTAATTTATTGAACAGATTTTCATTTTTGTGGACAAACCTTCGACTATGCTTACCAGCTAACCACAGTTGTCAAACATCATGCCCTCTGGTCTGCCATCTTTGCTTAGATTAAAGAGCAAGGAACAGTGAGGAACATCTAGATTCAAAGGGCTAGTGAGATAAGGATAAAGTCTAGGAGCGATGTGACTTGACTCCATCTGGAAGCAATGGAAAACGAGACTAAAGAAGTTGTAATGAGAGTAAAGTGCTACTAGTGCAGGGCAAGGAAAGTATTCTTTTACTCAACTAAAACACAAATACAGGTTTATGGGGAAACCAGTGTAAAAAGAGAAAACTAGATAAAGATGATTAAAAAAGAGGCATGACACAAGCAGAACATTGAAATATTGGCTAATAACATCGACTTACATTTTACTTAAAAAAAAAAACAACTTGTATACTTCTTTTTGTGCACCACCCAGGACGATTGGCATTTTTATTTCAGTGTCTCTTCTCCTTCTGTTGCTACAATGAACCACTGAGAAATACGGATAAAATCATAGGCACAGATTTTTGGAAAAAATCTAATATTAACTCCCTGTTATAATTTCTTGAAAATTGTTATTAAAATGAGAAAACAAGAAGTATTTTACAAATAGTATACTCAAGAGGCAAAGGGCTTTTTATTGACACAAAGTTGTATAAATATGTATTTGAATTTTGATCTATGACAAGGGAAAATTATTTTTCAGTTCACAGACAGAGGACATGATAATTAGAAAAACACTTTTCCTTTGAAATCTTCACTGGATATGAACTGGAACTGTTCACAGCATCAGAAAGTAACAGCAACTCCTTGGCTGGCACTTAGCTGTGACAAAGCCAATCATTTCTGCGTTACTGCTCAATGCTGATTATGAGGCTGTATTACTCACATGGCAGGAAAGTGAAAATATTATTTAGAAATGATGATCCCTTTCCAAATATTGAAAGAATCATTGAAGTAGGCAAAAAGGGAAAAACATTTAAATGAACATTTTCCCCCTAGGATTTGATCTAGAATCCTACTATTGTTTCAAGTTTGTGTACCTTACTGATGCTGTCAAGTAATTTAATCTAAATTATTACATTTTCCAATATTTATACTATTAGAATAAGTCATTCTGCATCACTTTCCAACATTTATTGTTATAAAGTCAAAATATGCAGATGTGCATGGTAATACAGAAATTAATTAATTCACATAATAATCTTCATGACAATCCTTTAAAAACTTGTTAGTACTTAGAGACCTTTTGGGAGTACCAATGCTTTATTCCAACATATGTCATAGGATTTATATTTCCAGGATCATTACATTTCAACCTTACATACAATGCACTTCTGACATTCAGCACTCATTTCTCTTCCTCATGAGATCAATGTGTCCTGAGCCAGTTTTTATTCTCTCGCTTGTCCATCTTTCATTCCCACATTTGTATGCAAATAGAGTACAAAGAAGAAGTCTCAGTGAGCAAAGTGTGCAAGTTTGCACTGAGCCTACTTCTTCCTTGCTGTTTCCCATAAGATAGGGTTCCACTTAACCGTGAACTTTACTGCTCCAAACTGTCTGCCTTACTGTATTACTGCTGTATTTCTTTCATATTTCTTGATGATTTGTTTGATGGCATATAATGAAAAGATAAGGCCACAAAAAGCTATACTCTAAATTACAGTAAGTATTGCAGGGTAGTCAAGGTATCTTCAGTATGGTCCATAAGCCATCACAGCGCATACATTCCACGTTTATGTTGGGGTACCATGAGACCTTAGAGCCATCCTCACAATGCGTGTCCTAGATATTTGGTAACTGTGTGCTTGACTTCAAAGAGAATTGGGAGGAGAGGGAAGAATGAGACCAAGTCTTGCTCAACATCCTTTGCAAAGTTTGAGTTGCCATGCACTCCTTTGTTTGGAACTCGGGCCATTTCTGAACTAGGAAGGTTTTCGCAGTTCTTTCAGTAAGATGAAATATTTTCTAGGTAAAAATTGCAGCTAACTCTGGGGTGAAAATAGAATTGAATGTCTGAGAATCAATATTTATTCATTTTAAAAACTATTTTATTTTACTCCTGAATTATTAAAAACTTCAATCTCTGTTTTGTTTTGTCTTTTAATATATATAAAGTATAGATCAATCCTGACTGCCTAAATTTTAGTGCTAGAGGTTCCTCAGGGATTTCTAGGACTACCACAATTCAATTTGTAACTGAAAATGATTCCTCCAGGTACCTCAGTTATGATTTCAGATCCAGAAGTCTGTCTGAGCTCTTCTTGTGTTATAAATCAGTTCAGAAACACACTAGGAATCCAAATGAATCCTCAGCTTTACCGTGTAACAGCAATGCGTTTAAGCGTTTCCGATAAACATGGAATTTAACAAATCCGCAAATCAGACTGCAGTTCCTAGCATCAACCAGGATTCTCTACTGTGCTTTTCTATCCCAAAAGATAATTTTTTTTAAAGGAGCAGCTTGCCCTTTTGCAGGCTAAGTTTAGAAAGGCAGATTTCAAATTATTTCATTCATGACTTCCTAATTTCAAGAGAATTGTGCATGCATCTTGTTTTCATAATGAAAATTATTTTCATTACGAAGATTCTTATGTGGATTAATCTAACAGGGAATTTTTTTGGTGGCTACTCACCTTCGTAAACTGATTTGAAAGCCCTGTTCTATAACATTGTGTTTTGTTTTCCTCTAGTTTAACAAAATGCAGTCCTACAATACTCACCCAGGCTCACTGAAACTGAAAACTGAGGAAGGAGCGCAGGATTGGCCCCTCGCTGTAAAGCCCACGACACATGGTGCTGAGATTAACAAAACAAAGTACAGCAGCTATGACTTGGCACAAAGTTTGACAAGCTGCAGAAAAGCAAATGTTTAAATAACTGAAGTGGTACTGATTTTCTATTCACAACCTTTTCTCTTCTAAACAGTATCATATTCTTTTCCAGCACATTTAGATCGCAAGTCAAGCTGTGTTTTATTTTTTATTATAATAAACCCAGTCAGTTTACTGTAACAAAGACATACTAGTGGTGATCAGTGTGAAAGCCAGTACGAAATCAGGCTAGGAAAAAAAAAGTCAAATGGCAAAATAAAGGACCAGCCGTCTGGAAAGTTCCTGGATCATGTAAAAAGAAAATAAAAGGCTGTGTTCTTATGAGACTAATGCAGAATACAAAAATATTTAAAGACAAAACTCTCTGTCGTTGCCTACAACATTTGTTAACAGCAGCCATAAACCTTACAAATAATGTCACATTTATTAAACATTTTCCAAGCCCATCTAAAACAAAATATTAGTATATTTTTCTTCTAAACATTTCTAGTAGCATTGTTTGTATCTATTCCTCTCAAAATACCACGCACAAAAAACAAAACCCTAACATAGTTTTGCAACGGCTTTTTCACCTGTAAAGCAACTTCCTGACCTGAAAAGCAACCACATTCAATCTATAGGATATTGCAAAAGTTTTGTGTATTTTATTATATTTGCAATAAATGACAGTTCATGAAAATGTTTACACAAATATCTTACCAGATTTTTATATAATGATCTTCTGTTTTCAAGTTCTGCCTTCATCTCTTCTTGAAATTCAATCAACTAAAATACAAGCACACAAGGATTAGTGTTGGATTTTGTATTCCAGACAGGCATAATTCTCTAAAAATTATTTCTAGAGACAGTTCCCTTATCAAGAGACAACACATGGACAAACATTTCTTTATTAGTACTGGTAGTAGATAGGGATCTTGATTTACTGCTAGCCACTTTCCTTTGGGATTTAATAGCGCCATGAGTCACATGCATAAAAGTCTTCCAACGTCAGTAAAACAGAGCGTGATGTCACAGGAGGCAGGAAGATGACAAAAACATCAGAAACAGAGAGTTCATTGATTTGAACTCTCAGAAATATGGCTTGTAGACATGTACACACGTGTAGAAAAATTGCAGGATTGCAAATAATCAGCAGAGTTCTAAAAGATCTGTGTGAGATAAGATTTGTCAGCAAATGATACATGGGTCTCACCAATGACAAAGAGATGTGACTACAGAAGAGTGAAAGAAGGATTTCTCAGGGATTCTCCAGCAGTTTCAGAATCAAAACATGCTTAAACATTACACTGTACAGCAGTGTCCTTGAGTTCTGCTGGGTTGGAGCTGTCACAGTTGCTGTCAGTTGGGACCGGCAAGTTAAACATCTATATTTCCCAGTGTGATGAGGAACAGAGTTTGTTGCTTACTGAATTTGCATTTAGAACATTATTAAAACCAGACAATGTTGAACACAACACTGTCATTCATTTTCTTTCATAAAAATGGAGAAACGCTCCCCTTCAGCACAATAACCCAGAAGCTGGAATGCTCAGCCGCAAATCAGGGCAGCTCACATTGTGTGCCTCTGGGAGTTTTATGGGGCTTGATTACAATATCCCAAGTCATGGAAAAGTGCCTTAACTACCACTCTGTGATGAGAATAAGCCACCAGTTCTGTTCAAGCTGTGCCATTGGACTCAAAGAATATGAAATTCATGAGACTAGATACAGAATGCTCACACATGAGCTTCACCACATAGCAGAGCTGTGACTGCATGAGAAAGGGGAATGCTGTGTTCTGACTTGCTGGATCATTTATGAATTTTACATTAGACTACAAGAAAAAAACACCAGACAATCTCACACACTGCACACGGACACATAAAAACCAAACACAGATACTCAGTAATAATTCAAAGAACAAACTTAGGGGAAAATTCCTTCCTCCATGTATCCCTGCCAGTACTCCAGAGATTATGGCTCTTGTTTTAAGAGAATATTTTCCAATCAGAACACAGTGTAAATGAGCAGTTAAATCACTGCTATACAGAGCTATCTACTCAAACATCCTTGAGTTCACCAATTAGCAGAATGCTAGGCAGGCACTCCAGTCCTTGGGAGAAAGTCAGTGCTTGCCATCTCTCATGATGCTTTGAGAGGAGACTGGAGAGCTGGGGCACAGCTGGGCTCAGCTGGGCTGTCTGGGCACAGGGAATCCTGTCAGACTCCAATTCCTAACTACAAGACATATAACAATATTTTCTAATTAGGCCAAGTAAAAGACAGTGCTCTGAGCCTGTTTCACCATCATTTACTGTTTCAACACAGAGTGTGCTTTGAATTTCATCTTTAAGCCTTGACTTTTTCTTGTGTAGTGTGTATAAGAAACTGGCTGGCATCTGTACCAGTTTTGTGAACTCCACTTCTGGAGCGAGAAGTCCAGCTGCTGAGCACTACAGCAGTGCGTGCCTTCTGGTCAAACTCCTCGTATTAAAAATAAAGGCTTTCTAATGTAAGAAGAATTTAACCATATTCTGGTTATCGAGAGAATAGCTTCCAGTGGGATATGCAGAAAAGGGAAAAAAAAAAATCAGAAACGTCAATAATGTAGTTTATGTTTTAGAATTGTATTTTTTTTCTTTTGGGAACAGAATTACACTTATCAGAACTATAATGAGAAGGGCTTCTCCAAAGGCTTCTGACAGCACTCCAGTCTTATCTACTTGGCAGAAAGTACAGCAGTCATGAAGGGCTACCTGTGTGGATAGTGGAATTGGAGGAAGTTTGGGATTAAAGAATGTGATCCATATGTACACAAATGTAGTGCTTTGAAATCACATGAGAGATAGGTAGAAGAGTTCCTACACTGCTGCTCAAATCTTCCAGCTGAGGGAGAATCTGCAAGAAAATGTGAGGCAAAAGCCTCTATTGCACTGAGATGAAGTGAAGAAAAGGAAAATAAAAAGTAAGCTAGAGGAGAAAAAACTCTGTTCTGATGACTGGCACTTTCAGCATAGTGAGATTTCAAACCTGAGGGGGATTCCTGAACACTGTCAGACCTTAACAGCCAAAACACTAACAGAAGCATCCCTTCCTTGACAATGCAGTGTAGTAGGCTGACCAACTAGTTCTCCAATTCCAATTTTAGATTTCATGCATAGTATCCTTTTTTTAAACTTTAATGAATATAACCTTTCAATAGTCCTTTAGGGATAAGTAGGTTTCTGTATTTTAGAGTGGGAAACTTGGTCATAGAAGGCAGATTCATCTACGGTCACAAGGAAAGCCAATGAAAGGAATGACTTTAGAATTCCAATGCCTTAGCTCACCATCAATTTGTGTTTTTAGCAGTAAGTTTTGTGAGAATTTTGTAATCCTTAATATGCACAAAAAAATGTCATTATTTCCCTTAAGATTTACCACAGGTAAGTGAGTTTTCTACAGAATCTCTTGGGATTTTTTCACAGAAGGAATGTTCTCTATCGAAAGAAGATTTGTGACTGTTTTAAAGTTTTCTATTAAAAATGAATAAATCTCAGGAATGAAATATATGCCTTGCAGAAAAAGTCATTTGAGAACTATCACAAGACAGAAAGGCACTGGGAGGATATGTAGAAGTTATAACAAGTAAACTCTGAGACCTGTCCATGTTTTATCATTTGTTACCAAACGGATATTAGTGTTGGAAACGTCTTTTAGAAAGTTGTGTTTTATGCCTTGCCTAGCTACTGTGTTGCTCAGATAACACATAAATAATAAATCACAAATAATTATAGGTCTATCCATGGGTAATGGAATATTTTACAAATTGTATGTTACTAGAAAGGCTTTTGTTGGATGTAACTTGCTATTTGCTCTTATCCTGCCTTCAAAATCTTACTGAATGCATTTCTTTCTATACTAAAGTAGTCCATCATTTTAGTGTAGTATACTGAGGTTCAGAACTTTCACTGTATTTCAACAAAATTATACAATATGATGGGTCAAGAAGCAACCATACTCATTAAAGGAACACCAGCTACCTATTACTCTACAATGAGTTATACTACCATAAAACATAATGTAACATTATTCAAGTCTGAGACTATTTTTCAGCTTCCTAGCATTGTTTGGTCTATACACTGCTAACAGTCCAAGCCTGTTAATGGTCCTCCAGGAGTGTAGCTAACAAATGTAAAAATTACCATACCTGTTGAATAGTTTGCTCATCACTTTCTATTTTTAATTGCATTCTTTGAACTTGCCTATCTGAAAACAAGAGGAGAAAGAGAAAGCATGAAATTATACGCCTCCATTAATGTATGCAAAATGTTTGCTTCAGGTCAGTCTATAAACCTGGTGGAATGCACAGTGGAGCAGTCCTGGCAGAACGGTGACCTTCATCACTGCCCTTGACATTCACAGCCTTCTTCCTGCTGTTTGGCCGGCTGGTCAGATTGAGATTGAGAAGTAAGTTCAAGAGCCAAGTGTGACTGAGAACCCATAGCTTTTCATTAATACTATTTATGGACATCCTTGCTGTTAGTCACAGCCAGAACAAAGTGTTTTAGCAGGTGGTTCTTCATTGTTCATGCAAAACTTCCAAAAGATAAGAAGCACGACTGAATCAGATGATAAGCAGGAATCAGGAATATTTTCTACGTCACATTCATCTTGCTACTATTAAAGACAATACTGGGTCTAAACCACATGGATGTAACAAAATTAAACAGCCAAATTCTAATCTATTGCTACAGTTTCCAGTTCTCCATTAAATATTTTATAAAGGAAATATACAAGAAGCAACCTGTTGGTAAAGATTGCACATTGTAGGTTGGTTTTTTTTTTTTTTTTTTTTTTTTTTAAATCTCCTTTTAAGAACTGTAATAAAGCAAAAATATCGGAAGCATAGATTATTTCAAAGAAACAATTTCTGTTAGAAAACTTCCTCAGAAACACTGAAGTACATAATCAGATAACAAAATGTACGCTTGGATATTTTGCAGAAGCTCAAAATCTACCCCCGAGAGAATTTCATGTAATGAAGATAACATAGCAGATTGTCATTTAAAAGCAAAAATACTGATGTATAATGCTGTTCTACTTCAGTAACTTTACAGCACTTATCTGCCAAAAATATAAACTCAACTGCATTGCTAGGCAACATTACAAGTCTCAAAAGCCACAGCAAATATTCCTTTGTCATAAAATAAAAATATGTAAATATATGCATTAAAATTAGAATAAATGTGTATGACTTTCTGTACAAATACACACAAAATTAGCATTCAATACCAAAAAAAGACAACAGCCCGGAAAGAAGTTACAATACTTCTGAAGTGCAGTAACAATTAATTCCTACTTCAGCAACATTTCAGCTGAACATCTTGAACCACATCAGCTTAAAGTTTTACCTAATGCATGCTTTTCTTTTTCAGAGTGTTGCAGACAATTCTCAAGACGAGCAATGTCGTTGCGTAGTTTGAAAACCTCTTCTTTGAACTCTTCATTCTCTTTTTCAAGCTTTTTGTTTCCACGGTCATCCTCTTCAAAGACAACCTAAAAGATTGCAGTGCCTTGAATTTATAAGTGAGGAATCGGGGGTTTCAATATGCTGCACTGCTATAATATTATACAACACAGTATCATATAATTTCTGAATTCTATTACAGAGTCATAATATGAATAGAAAAAAGTTGAGGCTCTAAATAGGTTCCTGCAAGAAGAAAGGCTGCAGTACATTATATACAAAGACTATAACACATGGGGACATTTTATTGACAGGAATAATGCATATCATACTGTTTGTGTGCCCTCATCATTCAGGTCAATTTATTATGGAGGCTGAGTCCAGGAAGGCAGCTGGGGCCTATCCACCCACACTTCCCCCCGTGTTTCTGAAGTGCTGTCCGTAACTAGGCAGGCAGGAGAGGCTGCGGACAGGCAACACCAGGGGGTTGCAAAGTGCATGGCTAAGGAGGGGGGCTTGTTGCCTTTGTGCCATTTCTCAGTGACAGTGCTGCCAGTGTCATGAGGAGCACATCACATGTCAAAGCGGTGAAGTTTTCAGGCTGGGAGCCGCATGGAGTCCATCAGGCCTTCTGATATCAACACAGTTGGTTTGCTACTTGGTGTCGGAGCCACCCAGAGGCAATTCATATTCTGAACATTAACATGGCTTTGCATGCCTGTCACACATAGACCGTGCAGGGGTTTAATGCTATTGAAGACTACGGTTTAAATCTCTATGCAAACAGTGATTACCTTGTAAGAAGGTTCCAGGATAACATACAACAAAAGACTTTAAAGTTATAGTTTTAGTAAAGCAAACTCATTTACATTTTTATTATGCGTGTCCTTTGTTTAAATCTTGCCACGTCCATTATGGAAAAGACTTCTTATGCAACTGGAGCTTATTGGGACAGCTACTCTTTTTTTCTTGTTGGTCTCAAAGCTATTGAAAACATTTGAATATATTGTCTTATGGCTGTCTAGATTTTACTGCCACATATTTCTTTTAAAATTATAGAAAAGCTTTCAGAGCTGGCACGGATCTTTATAGTAATACCGGAATATTAACTAACTCCTGGATCTCTTTAAAATATTAACACAAAAGAGAAGATTCAGACAGCAGCTACTTTGCTTACTAAGGAAAATTTAGGATGCTGTTTGCTCTGCTTGGTATAAATATGAACTCTGTTTAAAAAAAAATTACTTGAAAATAAAACCCTGAGGTTTTCAAATGACATAGAAACTTGATCTGTAAGGTACTTAGGGGTAACATTTAGCCCAGAACTTTCTGTTTTGCCTCAGAAAAACATTTTTGATCTCAAACTAACCAGAACAGATTATCACTGTATTATATAAAGTTTTGGCCACAATGTTTCCATTGATTTTATAAGAAATCGTGTAAATAAAATGCAAAGCATTCTGAAAAGTAATTCATGCAAGCTTGTGCTTCTCCATCATTTACTAAAGAAATTTTACTTAAAGAGCAAGTTTTCTTAGCAAACACGTTACTTCTAAGAATGCAAGGTGTCTTCATAAAGTTGTGAAAAATGTTTCAACAGTATTTCACCTTAAACAATCCTTGTGCAGCAAAAAATTTGCTAGATGGCATGTTTGTTTTGAGAAGCTGTATCAAGCTCAGGAAACAGCAATGCTAGGAGAACAGCACGTGCAATATTGGAGTGCTAACCAACTCTGCTCAGGCTGTAGTCAGCTCAGCCCACTGCAAAACCAACTCCGGATCTCCGAGCTTCTAAGAAGCTGTTAGAGCTCTTCATAGGCTGAGGTCCATTTGTTCTTTTCTTCAGGCAGTATTCGAGCAACAGCCGATGCTCGCAGAAGAACCTTGAGTTTATCGTAAAGTAAGCCCAAACGATTGAATGAATCCCGTGAATAAGTTTTAAACGGTGCCACAACTACAAGCGTATCCGCAGTCCTTTAGTGCTTTCATGAAAGGATACAACACTTTCTCCGCCTGGACTTTGCACATTACCGAGGCAGCCTTTAGCTGTAGCCCCACCGCCTGCCAGGGACCAGAACTGCACGTCATTAACTATTCAGGCTCCTGCTGCAATGAGGACACTCATTAGCAAAACGAACAAAGGGACAATTTTCTGTAGCTACAGTCATCTGTTACACTTTGAGTGGCAGGTTTTGTAGCAATGTTCTCTCTACCATCTGCCCACAGCGGTAGCGTTTGGCTTGCTTAAACTGGGGAACTTTCAAGATGCAAGAAAAAAGGGCTGGAGGGCTGGAAGGCAATTATGACACGGCTTAGCCAAGAGACTTCAGCATTTCTCACCTTATCTATTTCATTATCTCCATTCTAACAGTTTTAATACTTTAAGATTTAAAAAAAAAAAAAAAAGAAGTATATCCTAAGTCTAAATAAATCCAATTACACTTTTATTAAAGTGATATAATGCAGGTTGTTACCTGCATTAGGCATTTCTAATTATATTAAATAAATATGCATTCATAATTTTGGGCAGTAAAAGAACTTAAATTAGATTTATCCACCTATAATGACAATATTAAAGGCAAATGGCCTTGAGGTAAAAGTGAGAGAATACAGCTATTTATTATGTAGTTGTGAAATTCACATTTCCCTTTGGCATCTCAAAGTATTTAATATGCACACAAGATAACTAAAGGGACACTTGAAAAACAGGTAGGATTTTTGCCCTTTTAATGTAAAAATATACAACAAAAATTACTGGTGCTATAATATGATACCAAAAAAGACAACACTTGAGCATGTTTCAGATAAAACTATAAACTGCAGTTGTTATTGCTGTTAGTTTTTTATGAACTTGCCTTGGTAAAAAAGTAACTGTAGAAAATCTGTCATTTAAGTTATCATCTCCCTTTTCCTTCCAAAGCTATAAATTTAAAGTCTATTATTTACACCACAAGAGGGTGCAATGGTACAAGTCGTCATGAAAAACATCCACAATACACCAGTTTTGAGTTGCAGGGGAAATGATCATTCCAGTGTTTATTTACATTTATTGTTGGAAAATCATACATCCGCAACAAGAGTACATTTATAACAATAATTGTTTCATTTTCATGCTTAAAATGTCAAGGTTGAAAGTGGAAGGTTCTAGTACGGCCACTGCTTGCACAAAGCCATTACTTTTCAGGCAATCACTCTGCTATTGCACTCTTATCTTCAATTCAGCTAATGGGTATACTCTAAAAGGGCTTCCAGTCCTCCAGGATCATTCAGGGGATCAAGATTCTACCACTCCTCTGATAACATACTTCAACTGGCTATCATTTTCCTGTGTATTTTCATCCTCTGGACACTGAATTTTATTATATCATCTATGTAGGTCTTTTAAATGTAACAAAATGGAGGCATCAGAAAGGATAGGACTAACAAATTACTACTGGCCCAGATAACCCCTTTCATTCTTTAAGGCATGTCAGAGACAGAAAAGAAGTTCAGATAGCATAACTTTGGAATGAGAATAGGCATTTCAGTGCAAATTCCTTGACAGGGGAAAACAGAGAATGTTTCCTTTTGCATAAAAGCAGAATTCTCAGAGAACAGATGGAGTTAATTCCTCATTTCCATGTATTTTTTGAGTTCTTTCACTGGGTAATGAGGGCTTTGCCTGAAGAATATTTTATGTCTTTCACAGATTACACAAAGGTCAGGAGCTGCACAGCACCCCATCTTATCAGAGTGACAAATAGAACTGTAGATATTTACCCTACAAGCTCCACAGTCCGTGTTACTAACATAGAATGAACTTCTTATAAGAGAAAACTTCACCAATATGCCTCCTAGTTTTCCTGGTAGGCAAAGGGCCTCATCTGTGTCTACCTTCCTCTTCGTGAGGTCTGAAACTAGAGACTTACAGTTTTTTCCACAACTTAGTGGAAGGTCACATCACTAAATTTTAAGGCAGGACACATCTTACCGCAGCACGCTCTCTTTTAAGCAGTGCTACTAAATCAAACAACTTGCAAAGATCTTGTGTTCACAGGTACCACTCAACTAAATGTATATTCTTCCAAAATAGCAAAATCAGCTTTGTTGGAAAATAGGTTTTATGTAATCTGTGATGCTGATTAAGAAAAGTCACGCTAAGTTTTCCATTATGTAAAACACCTACCACAAACCGGTCAGCTGTTTCTGGGGGGCTTCTAAACCTAAGCTCTCTTGGCTTCCAAGTCTACAAATGTGTGTTCTCTGCAGACATTCAGAATCCTTTGTAGTGGTTGATGAATCAGAAAGTAACTGCTACTCTGTGATAAAAGCATATGATTCTGCCTCCTCCTATACAGAACATATCTTTTTTAAAATTGCTCCCAGAGTTTTTTTCACATTATTAACCACTCTACAACTTTTACCTACTTGTATGTTCACACAATTACAGCCGCTTTTTTTCCTCCCAATATGTTAAGAATTTTTTTTTGTTCATAATATTGACATTCATATTACCATTTTGTATGGGAACAGCTGGATCACGGCCTGAACCTCTGATTGATCACCTGAGGCGAGCGCTGAGTCAGCCATGGAGCACAGGTGAAGGCAATTCTCCTGTGCTGCCGGAAGGGTGGAGCCTGGCTGCACCTCTCCTAAGGCCCATTTAAGAGCTGACTGCCAGTGGGGAAGGAGCTCTTCTGGAGATCCCTCCTCTGGAGTTTTGCAATGAGCCCAGGACAAGGGTAAGCACTCTATTTATTCTCTTTTTGGTATAATAGCCTGCTTAGCCAAACTCTCTTGTTTATTTTGTAATTGTAGCATCTGTATGTTCATTGATTATACACATTTATAGTCCTTTTTTTTGGCTTCATTATCTATTTTAAAGCCTTGCGAAACTTCCGTTAATAGAAGGTGCCCAATAAGCAATAGAAGATACCCAAATGATGTAGCAAAGAAATAAAATGTACTCCTGGTGACTGTCGTAGCTAACAGACTGTTACAAAAATGAATTACTATCACTTCCTTCTGTTAAATAGGGCTAATGATGCAGCTCAAATATCCTGTTCTAGAATAGATTGCATAGCTGTCAATTCCAAACAGAGAGAGATATGTATGTTCCTCAGAGGATACATCTGAGACTCCGTCTTTCTCCTTTATGAGTAATACTGTCTAACTTAGGTGGCTGCCAGTAGAAGATGGCATTTTCAGATTTCTGTTACTACTGTACATCTTAATGATGCGCAGGGAGCTGAGATCAAAAAGCAATCTATCACCAGACTTAGCTAAAAACTCTTTAGAAACTGAGACTGCTTCTTATCAGTCTAAAGTACACGAGAAGTCTGCAATGCCTCTTTAAACTTCTCCCATTTCAGCAAGCTGCTGACAAGAGTTGTTAACTTTGGAAGGACATGTTTATATTACTGAAAGGAAAAGGAAATGATGTACAGAAATATGTGACTGAATTAAGTGTCCCATTTGAAGGCTACAGGATGAATAATTTAAGACAGTTCTTAGCCATTAAAACTAACTATTTCTGTCTGTATTTGTGTGGGGAAAATTAGTCAAAGGGACTTCTCATGTCTGTGGATGGTTAACCTGGGTGGTTGCTGAACTCTGAGAACTGTTGCAGGAGTTAAGAAAAATCAAACATGAAGGATTTTAATCTTCATTAGGATACCTGAAATGCTGACTTAAATGACCAATGACACAATTCTGAACAAGAAAATATTTTATTTCAGAAGTCACATGGAGACAGGAGGAACAAAGAGAAACAAGAGAAGTAATGTAAGTATAGAGATGAAATTTTCTGTAACTGAAATGGAATAAAATAGCGCTGAGAGCAATATTTTATTCAAGTATTACATTTTTAAACAAGCTTTTTTTTTCTTCAGGATTTACAAAAATATCTTAAAATATTTTATTTTCTTAAAAACAGGAAAAAAAAAAAAAACAAACCCACTGTATCTATAGTCAAACTATCACTGATTACAATATCACGTTGAATTGAGTGAAATAAATAGATCACTTCAGACTCCTTCAGTCAAAATACCTATCTTTAGCAAGAGATATCCCAAGAAGTGTTCTAATATTTTCCTATCTTTGTCTTTACTGGGAAAATAATGAAACCAGAGATCACAGAATTGTACGGGTTTGGAAGGATCTCTGGAGATCAAAGTCCAACACTGCTAAAGCAGGCTCCCTGCAGCAGGTTGCACAGGAAGTCATCCTGGAAGGTTTTCAGTATCTGTAGAGAAGGAGACTCCACAACATCTTTGGGTAGCTTGTTCCACTGCCCTGTAACCCTCACAATGAAGTTCTTTCTTGTGTTCATATGGACACAAGAAATTTCCTGTGTTCCAGTTTGTGCGCATTATCCCTTGTTTGGTCACAGGGCACTGCTGAAAAACCCTGATGCCACCCACTTGACTTCTGCCCTTTATTTATGAGCATTGATAAGATCCTGCTTCAGTTTTCTCTTCTCTAGATGGAAAAGCTGTTCATCCTATGGGAGATGCTCCAGTTCACTCATCTCTGTGGACCTCTCCTGTACCCTCTAGAAGTTCCTGTCTTTCTTGAACTGAGGAGCCCAGAACTGGATACAGCACTCCAGACACGACCTCACCAGGGCAGAGAAGAGAGGAAGCATCACCTCCCTTGACCTGCTGGCTGCTCTATTTTTAATGCACCCCAGGATACCACTGATCTGCTTGGGCACAGGAGCACACTGCTGCTCACAGCCAACCTCTTGCCCACCAGGACACCCAGATCCTTCTCTGCAGAGCTCCTCTCCAGCAGGTCAGCCTCTAATCTGTTCTGATGCTTGCAGTTATTCCTCCCCAAGTGTAGGACTCTGCACTTGTCCTTGGGAGTTTCTCTCTGCCCAACTCTCCATCCACATTTTTCAGTGTTTAATGGTTTCCAGGTTTAGTAACAAGTTTATAATCTTTTTGGAAAAACATGCCACTCTAGTCCTTTCATTTTCTTGATATTACTGCATTTTTCTTTTCAGATCTTCAATTATGGACTCTTTCTCACACAGTTTGTCACGTAAAAACCTCAAAAGTTTTCCTGATGAACATTCTATATCTTCTCTATCTATGTTGTAACACTTCTATTAGGAGATGAGATTAGTTAATGACATTCTTGCATAAATCACATAGCCCTTTTTTAATGCTACAATTTTTTTTTTTATTTGAGCACATCATAGTACATATTCCAGAGTTTCTGGTACCAAAAATAAAATGTTATTGTACCTGATATTTCAGATACTTAATCAAGAAATGTGTTAGATCTAATACATAATCTATAGTAATAGAGAATTCAATCATGGCAAAGAAAGGAAAAAAAAGGAAAAGCATATTCTATATGTTAAAGAACATATCTAAAACTCTTACAAGAAACAAAATAAGAAAGTGCAGTGTAAGTACAGTGTAGCAAGATAAACTACTGAAATGTTAACTTCTGGATTACTGACATTTATTTTTGCATCTTGATTGTATCAGTAAGGTGTTCAAATTGCAGTAAAGGTTTTTAAAAAAGCATCTGCAATGATTGATTTGCTTCAATGCAGTAAAATCAGCCTTTCAGAGAAAAACAGAATGTGCAGCCCCATATTATACTGAAATGCCTGCCCATTGTGATGCACAGCCCGCAGTAACCATTAGGAAACACTACGCTCAAAAGTATGTGTGAGCTCTTCCTTCTCGAGTACCTTGATTAAGTCATTTTTCAAGGTTAGGTGACTAAATATTGCTTAGCTTCTTTAAAATATAAATAGCAGCAATATTTGTCTCTAGTGCAATCCATCCATATTTGTTCGACTTCTTAGTGAGAATTACAGTTTCTTCTCAGAGCATCCCACCTACTGAATTATACTCATCTGGCATGGGGTGAATCTCTACCTGTTTGCTGAAGCTGGACTAAAAGAATCCAAAAGTAAAAAGGTCTTACAAGGGGAAAGTCAAATAAAGGGAACCTAAACCTGCAGTTCCCTACTGAGAACATTTTACTGCAAGCTCCTTGGAATACATATGCATTTTATTTTTACTACAGAAGGATTCATGAACAGGAGCTGGGGAAGAGAACTTTTCAAACACAGTGACATTCGCATTTTTCTATGTGGCTTGTGTGGCAGTGATCTGATCATATGTACTCATCTGCAATTCAGCTAGTAACCTTATTTTTATGGTGAAAGAAAGTTTGGAACTTAAATTTTGTCTAAATTGGATCATTCTTAGTATTTGTGTTACACTCTGAAATCTGGAACTCTGAAAACTTAAGGCACAGTTCCTAGAGCACAGTATAAAGTCATTAAGAGTGTACATGATTGGTCATCCTCCTCTTGTAGCCTGGGAATTCAATTTCCAAATCTATTGAGACATTCATTTCTGATTGAACCAAGCAGCATTATGTGATTACTATGTCTCTGCTTCTGAAGAGAGCCAGTCATAGCTTCTGTCTTATAAAACAACTTTCAAGTGTGCAAAACTGCACAGCTCAACATGAGAGGAGGGGGAAAACAGGACTTGTAAAAAACAAGCAAACATATTTTTGTGCTATTTTCATTCTACTTGATGTGGCTTATATGCTTAGTCTTCATGGATTATACAAACACATCCTTCTCCAGGTATTGTCAGAACTGACTTATGACTTATCACTACTCCAATCAACAGTCCTTAACCTTGTGAATGATTAAAACCTACCTTAATATTTCCCCTGAGAACAGCCAGTGCATCACGAAACTGCTGTTGGTAACTTTGTCGAATTTGGACTTCTTTCTGGAATTTAATGTACAAAAAAAGGAAGCAGGCAATCACTAAAATAAGCAAGCAAACAAATAAACAAAAACAAACAGACAAAAAACTTGCCTTCCGTGCCTTCCTTTCAATTTAAGGAAATTAAATACCATTGAAACTCCTGTGAAAGAGAAAACACTGTATTTGTGTTCTTTTTTTTTTTTTTTCTCCTCATTCTTCAGTCTCTTTTTAGCTTTTGGCTAATTAATGAAACTGTATCTCTTTCTCTAGAAACTGAAGATTCCAAACCGCTTAAAGGCAAGCACTTATTAAAGAGTTGTCTCAGATGTTTAAGATGGGAATTAATGCGTTTTTTTTTTTTTAAATTTTACTTTTCATACGTTCACATCGGGAGCTTGGACATCTTGAAGGCTGAAAGTTGAATCTTGTTTCTCCCTTGTGGTGAGTGCTCACTAGTTGCATAGGACTACTAATGTTGGTGTGAGCTGTAGTTTACTATCTAAAGATCAGTGAATATATATTTTCAAAGAAATACATGGAAAAGAACTGTAGGTGATGTGTATGTACATATATATTTTAGAAATGACTGCACTAGGATGTAAGACATCTTCACAGCTATGGCTGTTAATATGCAGAGTACAATGTAATCCGTGTTTTATTATTTGCAAATTTACCAAGACTACTTAGTCATTTTTTAAAAAAATCATATTAATATTTTGCTTTATCTTATTTTCAATAGTTCTGTGAATTATTTTTATTAAATAAAACATCGATCTACAGAACAATGATGTACAAATGAGAACTGCCATCAGGTGAAGATTGACCTTTAATGGAACAAGAACTTTTCTCTTTATCTGTTTATGAAAAGTCTCAATGTCTGTCAGTCTACCATTTACATATTTATTGAGATTCGACACTTGCTCTTCAATTTTTTTTCTTCATATTGTGCTTGAATGGCGCTTTTGTAGATGAACAAATCTTTCTGGAGGGAATTGGTGAGCTAAAAATAAAGATCCTGTTATTACTTATATACAAAGTAAGCTAGACACACACACATGCAAAAAAGGTGCAACTACCCTGTTCAATATGCTGTTGATGCTGATTATTCACCTAAATACAAGCATCTAATGCAGTTCTATACCTTGTGGTATCTCCTTTGTTCTACAACAGTCAGTTCAGAAGAGCACGTGTCTCTACACTGGCAGGAGCTCCCTGTTCCACATCTACAGTGTTTGCTGCCAAATTAAAAATGCCCCTCAGAAACTTTCAATTCTGAAGAGAATATTCATGCAGTAAAGATATTTAACTTCCTCAGGAAATAATTATTTTTTGAATACTCAAGTCTCTGCCAGATGGTAATTAGATACTGCAGAAGAGATCCAGACAGGTCTATCAATACAGATATTACAATGGAATCCTAGAAAGTGGTCAGAACATGTTCATAAAACTTAAACCAGTAGCCTGCGAAGTTTTTTACTGTAAAAGAGTAAAGATAACTGTATTTTAGCAAGAAGTAACAGAAGAAGTGTTAAAGGAAATGCATTTGGCTTTCCACTGACTTTGATGAGGAAAACACTCAGAAATCTTTATGATGTACAAGGTAGAAATAAATATTGCTTCTAAAAGCAATACCAAGAACATTGAATTTTTGCTCTTCTATGTTTATACATTACTCATAATCTGGAATGACAAGTGTCTGTTTGTTTGTTTTTCCAAGGAAATTAAACTTTCTGCACACATAATTACTTCATATCCTGAAGCATTTTCTTTTGTAATTTCTTAACGCAGTGAAGGGACAGATAGCAACATATCATTTTGATGTAACAGTTCTCCCTCTACAGGTCCCTGGAGGCATCTATCTTCACAAACTGTTAAGGCATTTACACTGAGAAAGCTTTATTTTTCCTTGTTATGGACTGCATCTTCGCTCCAAAATCTAAGCATTTATTTTCAGTAAGGCTCTGCTTACATTACACATCTATCTAAGCAAGTGCAGATAATGCCATCTGAATCTTTTTTCTAACTTTGTATATGATTTGCACAAAGCAGAAGCTTTTCTACTACACTACTTCATTTAAGCAGAAGCAGCAGGGCACGTTAGCTATGCTCATAACTGACATGAGGCCCACATTTATTGCTACACTATTAGCTATGATCAGATGGGTTTGAGACTTTAGAATTGATCATTTTCAAAATTAAACAATGGTAATCTTGATGAAATCTTCTCTGATTCAGTTAGCTGAGTAACCCAATCTTTAATTCACCTATCAATATTTGTGTGTTGGTATATTTTGAAAATAAAAAATCATATATAGAGTATATGAATACAGAATAAATGTCTAAACAGATTGCTCAAATATTACATAAAACAGGTGACAGTGACAAAAGTATCTGTTCTATAGCATGAAAAAGACTCAGATATCTTCCTTGATTAAAGCTTGTGTAGCAACTGCTAATTCATTTAATTCTGGTATTTCTTTGATATCTGTTTGTGTTGCGTGATCTCTGCTGTGATATCCTATTTTTAAATCATCTGAAACGCAAGGCCTGTAAAAAATCAATTTGAATAGACAACTTAAATAGAACAGCAGTTGCATTAACCAGATTAATCAGTCTTTATTAGTAATGGATATTCAGGAATAAAGTATTTTTTAATCATTTCACTTGCATTTTTTAAAGACAGGAACTTAAGAGTGTAACAAACACACCAGCAGCTTCTTTGTGTTTGTTTCATAACAGCAAATGTTTTCAATAAAATACTGAATAACAATTGAAATGTAAGCAACTCAATCGTTGTACTAAAGAACCTAAAAGAAAGTGCCAAAGAACAGAATACATTCTGACAGCAAACAGACAATTTTCAGTGTTCTGTAGAGAAAGCCGCCCAAGAATCCTGGACAGTGCATTTAGTTAGGAGCTTGTTTTTCTATTTCACTGATAAATTTGATTATTTGATATTACTAATTTACTCTAAAAACACCTACCATTAATTTTTAATAAAAACCTACAACAATGCATTGTTAAAAACAGAGCAATGCTGGCGCTGTCAGAATTCCTCTCTGTCACAAGCAGATGGTGTCAGACAACTCCTGCCCAGGGGTAGGTGATCCAAGCCAGCTTAACATCTTAACTGCCCTCGGAAGTGTTCTGCTTTAGGAGCATTCCAAAATATTCCAAGTACTGTTGAATACTACTGGCCACGAAGGGCTGTTTTCATCTCCCCAGGTTCTGTGCAGGAAACCTGCAGAGAGCCCCAGCCGTGCGGTGATGCTGTCAGATGCAACGTATCCCAGCTGGGCTGGGGAGCAGTGGCAAGAGGCACGGAACAGCGCTGAGCGGGCCGGACGGGCAGCTAGCTGAGGCCCAAAGGGAAACCAGCGCAGCCTGGTGAAGGCCTCACCTGTGCTCGGGCCCCTGCAGGCCGCAGGGCAGCGCCAGCAGCTCCAGCGTAGCCGGGGACAGCAGGCGGGCCCAGCGCAACGGGCCGCCCCGCCTCACCGAAGCCATGGCAACCAGCGCTCCGCCGCGCCGCTCGGAGCGGGGTGGGACGGGCTAAGTGGCGGAAGTGGCGGTAGTGGCGGGGCTCCGCATGGCCGTGTGCGTTGTGTCACTGTAGCCGGCTGCTCGGCAGGCTCAGGCTCAGAGTCCTGCCTTTTATTTTCATCGACTGCAACTCCCGACATCCAAACCCTATGTCTGAGAGTGCTGTCCAAAAGCTCCTTGAACTGTGCCGCCGTGGGGCCGCGCCCGCTGCCCAGGGCAGCCTGCTCCATGCCCGCCGCCCTCTGGTGAAAAACCTTTTCCTACTATTCAACCTGAACGTTTAAGTTATTGCCAGGCCAGGGAACACATCTGCCTCAGGGGCATCAGAGCGTGTTTCAGAGGAGATTGGACGATGTACCACTGCACCCAAGTGCAGCAATTCTCTCAGCATCTCCATGGCCTTTGGCTTGACCCAGCCCTCCTTGCTCCAGCCTGTGTGAATGTGGAGGTGAGGAGCCCAAACGGGCTCTTTGAACTACGTAAGACTGTGAACCAAAGGTGGAGGAAATAAGGAATAGTGGCCTGTGTGACAGAGGTAGAAGAAGAAAATGCAATTTCATGCCGTTTCAGACTGCAGGATAGAAGATCATGTCAAATGTGAGCATATACATTATTAGTGGATCTGCTTTCACTGTAGTAACAAATGTAGGCGTTGACATTTTAGTGTTGAAATGGTTGAGACAACAGTGAGACGATCAACAGCAACTGTGATTTTCTCATAATTCTCCCTTGACAGAAGTCCATCAGAGTATGGGCCATCTGCAAAAACAATGTAGTTACTAATATTTGAATGTGCTATATGAACTGTAGTGTTCTGGTCTCAATAAATTTAGCATTTACACTAAAAATCACTTCAACTTTGCTCAAACTCAAGCTGCGTGTTGAAAGCACGAGTTGAAGAGCAAACATTAATACCACTCTGCTCTCTAGATGTAGGAGCAAAATAACCTCCTACATAAACAGAAACCACAAGGATTTTTAAACAGGATGAGCCCTTTTAGTTTTTGCTAGGATTAACACCGTATGTAAGTTCAGTGATATATAAACTTTATGGACCAGAAATTATTGTAGGCATTGTTTAAATAATAAATCATTTCTAGTATTTGGAGTCATTAGTGTGGGTGAAACCTTCCTAACCTCAGCATATGGGATTCATTGGCTTATAGAAAAAAAATTGCCTTTAACTACAGAAACTAAAAAATAAATTTTTAATTAAAATTCTCTTTATTTATTTATTTATCTATTTATCTATCTATTTATTTATTTTAAGCTCTGGGCAGCATTTCATTTTATAAACAAGAAATATGGAAAGGGATACAAACTAACAAGTTAAATTTAAATTTTTAGAATTGTTCTCTTTCTCAAGCTCAAGGTGAAGGTGAGACCAAAGCCATCTCTATATCAAAGAAATGTAATTGGTAAGAAATCTAAGTTAGCTATACTACCAAAAATAAGTCATCACTTACTACTTTCAGAAATGTTACCTGAGTTAATATAAAAAGGGAGATGTCATTGTTATGCCACATGCAGAGTAGTACTTTAAACTAATACTTCTGACTTTGGTATTCTCAGGCTTTTTCTTTCAGTTTAGCAAAAATGGTGAAGGTAACTGAGTGAAAAGCAGAAATTGTTACTGGACTTTCAAAGCCCATTTGTAAAACTTGAGTTACTTTTGGGAAACCTTCCAACATGAATAATGTATAGAAAAGTGCATTTTCTTTGGGGAAGAAGTATAATTTGCCATTGGAAGCAGGCAAAAAGTTTATTAATATAGGCTATAGCATGTATGTACAGAAACTATCAAAAAATTACATCTGTGTTTTTCTGATCTATAGGAATCAGATTAAAGGTCAAGAAAGCTGGTTTTCACAATCCCATATATTGCTTGGATGCATGCAAGAGCAGTGTCAGGGAACTGGTGATCATGTTTATTTGTGAACATAGAAAATCCAACATTTTTGTGGTGATGTATTTCATCCTGACTTGGTTGTTTTCTTATTATTGATTGCAACCTGGTCATACTGTTCCAACTACTGTGTTTATGCTAGTAGCTTGATGCTTCACACTATAATTACTGCAGTCATGATAACCTTGTTTATTTAGAAACGTCTTTGCTGTATAATCTGAACAAGACTAACTATTGAATCTTTTAAGATAATAATCAAGTTATTTGTTTTTTGTTTGTTTGTTTGTTTTGTCTTGTTAATCCAATTCCCTGAAAGATGCTATGATATTTTAATCTAGTTACAAGCTGCTGAAAATGCATTTGAAATGGTGCTGTTGACAAATCTTAAATAGTATCATTCATGTCATAATAAAATATTGGCTTTAACTTAGCAAAACACAGTTGGTTCTCTCTCCAGGATAGCTGTTCTTTCACGGCCTTCTGTGTATTCACAAATGGGAGGCGGGGCTTTCACATCTGCAACTGCACCTCACCAAGCTTAGATGAACGTGACCTCTAAGGAGCTGATGTTTACAGTAGCACATAGCATCTTTTTAAAACAAGGTACTTGCTTATTACTTAACTAAAACAGGGTAGGAGTCTGTTATGTCAGAATGGAACAGCAAAGCTTTTGTGTCTGTGCATGGTATGCCTGTCTGTCTGTATAGCTTGGAAGTATCCAGATTCAATGACACAATGGAATTGGCAATAGACAATAAATCTCTCCCCTTTGATCTACCTCAGATTTTGCTTCAGATTCTAGTTGTGATAATTTTACATATTCTGCCTCATTTGACTGACAGTCATCAATAGATAATTTCTAATGGAGTCTCCAAGGTAACCAGGCTTATGTGCTAACAGTTCTTGACATTTTCTCTTACAATCCAAAATTTATCTTAGTCCCTTATTACACAAAAACAAGTAGAGATGGCTGCAATACAAGTACGACAATTCAAACATGTGCATTTCCTGCTTTTTCCTGAATATAACAGGCACTGTTGACCTGAGAAAAATACAGTAAGTCCATTTTATTCTGTCTGTGTTGGAAAAAGTGAACTGATCTTCAGGCACATAGCTCCTTTCAAAGGCCAGTGAACTTCAAACAAAATATAAAAGACAGTTGCTCTTTGTTGAAACTAATGATGTTAATCCCTCAGAAAATTAGGGGGAGGGGAAAATAAAGTAGTAGTAGCACTTTCAGAAGAGCGATGTATTTGCAGGTGGAGAGGATGACAGATTGTAAATCCCTTGGGAAAAAAAAAAAAAAAACACACAACAAAACACAAATAGAACAAAGAAGCAGGCTGATATTTTGCTGCAGGTTAAGATCAAAGTCTTTACTATTGCTACACTGTTATTAAGCCAAAATGGTCCTTGCATTCACAGGCCCTCCTGATTTCCCCATACTGCTGCAAATATTTTGTTACCAGGATCCTTTCATAAAAGTATTTGCAATTATGTCATATCTGAAAGCTAAGGCTATGAGTCAAGACTAAATTTATTCATTGCCAAGTTGTATCCATTTCATTTTGGCTAGTGCTGTCCTTTAGCTTCATCAGCTCTTCTCACTCCCTAGTATTTCATCTGTCAGGTATTTATGGAGGGCCATTTTCAACCTGTGCCAGATAAAGCAATTCAAGAACAGTTAGTCTCTTGTCACTGGTGCTCCAATCATTTTAATTCCCTTCTGCTCATGATGCAGTCAAAATGTAACGTCCTTCAGCAGTATTGATCAGAAATAGATAAGGTATCCAGATGAGGTGATAGTGGTGAAGCTACAACAGTTCCACAATCTGGGTCTCTGCTCCTGATGATTTCCCACAGCTGATATTCTGCTAATAGCAGAAATACTCACCTGTCACTGAGTAGATGTCTTCCATTTGCAACTCTGATTTTCATCTACCCTTGGAAGCAGCTCGATTTCTAGTCTCCGACTGTTTCCTATATGGTATTTCAAAAATTTTTATTGTAAAAATGCTGCTCAGCTCTATTGCCACTGGTGAAAGTCAACTGCACACCATATGGCAGGGTAATTAATGAAAATATTAAAGTCAGTCCCAAGACTGATCTTTAAAGAACTCCACTGCCAAATGTCTTTCAGCATAATGATTCCTTTAAATTATCTGCAGTTTTCTCTCCTTTAATGAGTCCCATAGCCACCTTTCAATTCTTGTTCTAATCCCCATTTTCATTGGTTTAGTAATGTCTCACGCTGAGCAGTACTAGAAATTTTATTGAGGCCCAACAAGATTAGACATACTAAATTTCCTCTAGTAATTTTGTATCAAATTCAGAGGGACATGCACAATCCCTTCTGTTCAGCAGAAAGGCCCAGATCTGTTATATAAGTTAATCTCAATTGGGATTCTCACTCTGAATTACTAAGTAATTAATGTTTAATTTTTATAAAATTGTGCTTGCATAGAAATCATGAGCAGATTGCTTATATTTTCATGTATGGATGATGTAACTCTTAACGAGTGCTTCTTTGTAACAATTTTTAATGTTTCAAATAATCTGAATAAGTACAGAAAATCATATTGCTAAAACATTTCAAAATTCCTACAGATATTCACTCAAAGCAGCAGAAACATGACTTCGCTTTTCAGTATGACTGAATTGAGTTTAGATACCATTATGCTGGGAATTACGGGTACAAATTCACTAATATTCACTATAATTCACTTTTAAAATTATCTCATAATGTTGAAGCAATATTGAATCAGAAAAATAATAGTGTTTGTATATTTAGCCATAACAAACTAGATTAGGAAAGGTTTAATTATTTACAGAGTAGGACATTAATAAGGATGAACTGATGTCACCCCTCCTCTGTAATGGTTCCACCTGTGTTATTTTTTCTCATTAGATAGTGGAGTTAAATAGCTGCAATCTGACCTTGCCTTAACAGTTAATTCTGTGCTGTGTAGGTGGAAATAGAACAGGTTGGTATTGTGATGAGGTAGGTTCTTCCCCTAAATTCCACTGGAGCTGGAACAGTACTTGTTGAGCTGGTTACACTGCATGTAACCACAGTCCTTTCCCACAGGATGGATCAAGCAGTGGAATAACAAAGGTATTTTATTTAATTAGATGCTATTCCTC